GGCAACACCCAGCTGGTGTTCACTGGAGAACTGCTTGCTGGGAACAACCCTGGTGTATCTGGTGTCAGAAGTGCTGTGCTGAGTGGTGGGTGAGTGTGGAGGGGAAAAACACGTGGTTAGCTCTTACCTCTTACCTTCATCCCAGATATGGATAGAAATTACCGGTCAATTAACTATTTGCTTGAAGGTTTTGAGGCAGGGTAGCTAGAACAGGTTAGACATAGATAAATTTCCAGTAGAAAGTGTTCAACCTACCCCACCCCCTCAGTCAATCAAAAGAAAATCCCTTAAGGGGAAGGATCACCTGAACCCAGGAGGTAGCGGCTGCAGTGGCAGTGAGTGTGCTACTGCACTCCAGCCTGGCCAACAGAGTGAGAATCCTACTCAAAAAAAAAAAAAAAATCTCATCAGAAGTAGGAACAGGACAGACCAACCTTTCAGTTCATAATCACCAAAAAATCCTTCAGGTTCCCCATTGAAAATAAAAGGCTCAGGATGTAAACAAAAATGACTGAAAAAAGTATATTCACAGTAAAAAAAAAAAAAAAAAGTAAAAGGCTCAACCCCACCCCTTATTTGATCAAATAAATGACAATAAGCCCACCCCTCTTCCCACAAGAGGCCAAGGGCAGGGGTTACCAGTGCTCTGTCCTCATTAGCATATCAATAACCAGGTAGCTATATCTAGCTTTTTGTTGAGAGCAAAAGTGCAGTTTTTCTTTTTTGAGAAATTTGCCCACGGCAGGTCTTTTTGCCATGAATCTTCCCTTTTCCCTTCTCTTCTTCTTGCTCATAAACTCTGTTTTAAAACTTTGCTGGCCACTCTGAAAAATTATTTCAAGGTGGAGTCAGAGAACCCAAGAGACTGCGCTCTGCACCACACCCAGCATGTGTTTTGTCTAACAATACTATAGTTCCATAAACATTAAAAAGGTTTGTAGATGTCCAGGCAAATCTACAGAGACAGAATGGAGATTAGTAGCTACCTAGAGTCAAGGGCAGGGGGATAGGCAGTGACTGTCAATGAATGCTGGGTTTTCTCTCAAGTGATGAAATTGTTCAAAAATTGACATTGGAGATGGTCATATAACTCTGACTACAACCTAAAAAAACCGCACTGAATTGTACACTTTCACTTATTTTCACACTTAAAAAAAAATTTTATTGTAGAGAAGAGGTCTTGCCATTATGTCCACGCTAGTCTCGGACCCCAGGTTCAGGTAATCCTCTCACCTCGGTCTCCCAAAGTGCTGGGATTACAGGTGTGAGCCACCGTACTGCACCGTACCTGACCTGATTTGTACACTTTCAATGAGATAATTGTACAGCACATGAATTATAGCTCAATTAAGCTGCTACCAAGGGTATTTAGAAATAACTTCAACACCAGAACACCAGAATCCTTTCTTTTTAAACATTAATTAGTTGAGTTTGACACTTTGTAATTATGTTACCAATGGGATATATGACCTATTATTAAAACCAGATACTTCTCCTATGCCATGACTTTTTATTTCTGCTGTATATATTGCTCTTTCATTTGGGGGACTAACAACTTTTATTTTTTTTTTTTTTGAGTTGGAGTCTCACGCTGTCACCCAGACTGGAGTGCAGTGGCCGCTCCCGGCCACCACAGCCTCGACCTGCTGGGCTCCAGCGATCCTTCCGCCTCAGCCTTCCGAGTAGCCGGGATTACAGGCGTGCGCTACCATGCCTGGCTGATTTTTTGATTTATTGTAGGATGAGGCCTTGCTGCCCAGGCGGGTCTCAAACCCACGGGCTCAGGCAATCCACTCACTTCAGCCTCCCAAAGGCGCGGGATTACAGGCTGAGCCACTGAGCACGGCTCTTTTTTTTTTTTAATAAAATTTTATAGGTGTCCTGCAGGGCTGCTGCATGTGGTTATGAGCAGAATGGCACCTGGTGGTAGGGGGAAGGGGAAATGGGGGCTGAAACAGTCCAAATTCATCCTGGAAGAGGCAACTTAGGGCTCACACAAAAAGTACCTTCAACTAGCCATGAGCTTAAAGTGCTGCTGTGGCATGGAGGTTGAGGGGAGGCCTTTAATTCTGTCTTCTGCTCTGAGGGGTGCCTCTTTCTAACTCAAAGGAGGAACACAGGCCTGCATAAAAACATTATGGTTTGCAATGGCACATCACACAGACAAGGAAGTTATGATGATTCAAACTACCTATAATGAGAATGAATGTTAAAACGGGTATTCTAACATCTTGAAAGATCCCCAGTTGATCAAAGAAAGAGTCAAGTATGTGCAATGAACTCTTCCTGAGCAGGAAAGAGAAGGAGCACTTTTCAGAGATTTTCAGAAGGGTTTTCTAGTTGAACCTTAATAAATAAAATTCAAGCCAACTTTTCTGATTAAGTACCTAACTGAATTTGCTCTTACACAAAGTAAATGCTCTCATGAAGCTCATACTCAGAGGTAGTTAATTGAGAAACATTAAGGATTCACATGAAAGAGTATAAACTCACCGGGCACGGTGGCTCACGCCTGCAATGGCAGCACTTTGGGAGACAGAGGCGAGTGGACTGCCTGAGCTCAGGGGTTCAAAGACCAGCCTGAGCAACATGGCAAGACCTCATCTTACAATAAATGACAAAATTAGTCGGGTGTGGTGGCACATGCCTGTAGTTCTAGCTACTTGGGAGACTAAAGCTGGGGGATCACTCTGAGCCCAAGAGGTTGAGGCTGTGGTGAGTTGTGATCGTTCCACTGCACTCCAGCCTGGGTGACAGAGTGAGACCCTGCCTCAAAAAAAGAAGGCAAGGCATATTTAAACAAATGCAATATTTGGGTCTTCTTTTTCCTTGTAAGACCTCTTATAGTAACAATAGACAAAACAAGGCTGGGTTAGCTGAAGGACTGTGGGAGCTGTGTGATGAGAAGGGGGATTTCAACAAACTATTCTGTGCATTTCCATACATGTTTGAAATTCTCCACAATAAGAGTTTTTTTTTTTAAACTGTTGCACTACAAATCCAAAAGCTGGCACTACATTCTACTTCAAAAGTAAGATGAAACATTAAAAAGGAAATTAGTCTGGGTATGTTATTGTCTACCATGTTGAGTTTTTATTTATTTATTTAAATTGTTTTTTTTTTTTTTTTTTTTTGAGTTGGAGTCTCACTCTGTTGCCCAGACTGGAGTGCAGTGGCCGCTCCCGTCCACCGCAGCCTCGACCTGTTGGGCTCCAGCAATCCTTCCACCTCAGCCTTCTGAGTAGCCGGAATTACAGGCATGCACTACCATGCCCGGCTGATTTTTTGATTTATTGTAGAGATGAGGTCTTGCTGCCCAGGCAGGCCTCGAACCCGTGGGCTCAGGCAATCCACTCACCTCAGCTTCCCAAAGGCACGGGATTACAGGATGAGCCACCGAGCCCGGCTTGCATTTATTTTTATTGTTTATTTTTTTGAGTCGGAGTCTCCCTCTGTCGCCCAGGCTGGAGTACAGCGGCATGCTCACTGCCACCACAACCTCGACTTGCTGGGCTCAGGCAATCCTTCTGCCTCAGCCTTCCAAGTAACTAGAACTAGAGGCACACGCCACCATGCCCAGCTAATTTTTTTATTTATTGTAGAGATGAGGTCTCATTAAGTTGCCCAGGCTGATCTTGAACCCCTGGGCTCAAGCAATCCTCTCGCTTCAGCCTCTCAAAGTGCGGGATTACAGGTATGAGCCACCACGCCCAGCTCATATTGGGTTTCTAAAGTCTGCATGACATTTTAAAAGACATTAAACATTGTAAAAATGTATCTAGCAATATAATAGTTGTTATAAAGAGGAGGTGGGGAGAGACAGACAGTATCTTTAGTAGAATCTCACTCTTGTTACTTAAAAAAAGCATTTATATAAACGTGGATAAGGCTGTAGTGTTAACAATCATCTTTTAATGAGTGGGTTATAGGTTTTCTCTACCTTCTTTTTGTATGTACTTTAAGAATTATCTGTATGCTTGTTTTTGTCATGAACTCATTAAGTGGTAAAAAGCCTTGGGTGTTATGTTGCAGCTCAGCTGCACTAGCCTTATTAAAAAACATACATACTGCTGGACATGGTGGCTCACATCTGTAATTCTAGCACTTTGGGAGATGGAGGCGAGAAGACTGACTGAACCCAGGGGTACAAGACCAGTCTGGGCGACTTGGTGAGCCCTCGTCTCTACAACAAATCAAAAAATTAGCCGGGCGTGATAAGGTGCGCCTGTAGTTCCAGCTACTTGGAAGGCTGAGGCGGAAAGATCGCTTGAGCCCAGCAGGCTGAGGCTGCGATGGTCATGAGCATGCCACTGCACTCCAGCCTGGGCAACACAGAGTGAGATTCCAACTAAAAAAAAAAAAATACATACTCTAAGAGTTCCATACTTGAAACTGGGAACTACAATCCAGAATATGTCAGAGAGAAGTTGCCTGGGCAGGAAACAATCATCTGATACAAAGGTTTCTCAGACGAGAAGTAAGGCCTCCACAACAGGCTATGGGCACACACCTGTTAGGAACATACACGTTAGCGGCTTTCACTTTGGGTCTCTGTAAGTTGCAAAACCAAAAGTTTAATGAGAATACGGACTCTATCCAAGTTACGGTGCCACAGATCTATAAAAGTATAAAGACACCAGATCTGGCCATTGCCTTATTAGACTCTGGTGTGGCCATGTGCTCTTTGAGCTATGGCCATTGCCATGCTTCCTGGCTTTGGCCCCCTTCCCTGCCTTGGGGAGACGAATCAACTCTTTCTTTCCCTCTCTCTCTAATTTACTTTTAAAATAAACTATATTTTCCAATCTAAAAAAAAAAAAAGACACCAGATCTGTTTGGGGGTTAAGGCAAGAAAAGGGCTTGCTAAACAGGAACTTATCTCTTATCCACTCACTCCTTGGGATAGAAGGTCAAAGAGCATCTCTGGTTGGAGTCACAATGCTTCGCCTGACATGACCGGGCCATTCACTACTTACCCAAACAGCATCTAAGGATCTCACCTCATAGTCTTTCCTTGGAAGGATCTCATCCTCCTCTTCATGTGTTTCTCCAAGGATAGTCTAGAGAAACAGATCCATAGAGGGAGTAGAAGGAGGTAGAAATATAATTAGTTACCAGTTGTCTTTTTTTTTGAGACTGAGTCTCACTCTGTTGCCCAAGCTGGAGTGCAGTGGCATGCTCATGGCCACCGCAGCCTTGACTTGCTGGGCTCAGGCGATCCTTCTGCCTCAGCCTTTCAAGTAGCTGGAACTACAGGCAAGCATCACCACGCCCAGCTAATTATTTGATTTACTGCAGAGATGAAGTCTCACCAAGTTGCCCAGGCTGGTCTCAAACCCCTGGGCTCAGGAAATCCTCTCGCCTCAGTCTCCCAAAGTACTGGGATTACAGGCATGATCCACCGCATGTAGCTAGTTACTAGCTTCTAAATCATCTTGAGTCACGATTAAATAGTAAACAAGACCTTAAAAAGATCTTTTGGCGGGGCATGTGAGTGAGGATTTAAATCACTTGGCTGAATTCCTCGTTTCTATTGATACATTCACCAAATAACCACTCTCGTCTTCGGGACACCTCAAAGATGTCCAGTGCCAGGTTATGAGGGGGAAAAAATTCAGATTTCAACTGACAATGTGCCAAATCTAAAATCAGAAGGGACCTGTCAACTCTGGAAAGACAACTCAAGTGTTCCCAGAGTGCTTTGCAGGGAGAGGCTGGACTATCAATGATCCAGAAAGGGGGAGGGCTAGAGTGAGAACGGGCTAGAGAAACTAGGCGGCTGCATGATAAGCACAAAGTCCTGTGAAGGAAGCTCATTCTGAAAACGCTTGTTTCATTCAAAACTCTTTCCAATCGGAAAGAAAAGAAAATACGGATACGATTAGCTGGAGCCGGCCCGGACTCTCCCTCAGATTCCAGGGAGAGCTTAGAAAAAAAGACTCCAGACTTGGGCACGTGAAGCAAGGCAGATGCTTCGACAGCCCCAGGCTGCGGGCCCCAGGCCCCACCCGCTGCCACCTGCGGGCCCAGTTCGGCTCGGCCCCACCCCTGGCAACGCCTATCACAGGCCCTTAGCAACCGCCCCCTCCCCAGTTCAACTCCGCCTGCTTCTTACCAGTTCCTCGGGGGTGCGGGTCTCACGCTCACCGCAGCAGCAGCACCACCTGCAGCAGCAGCACAGGGACCCCCTGCACCCCGCCATCTTCCTCCTTTACTGCCACT